TCAATGATAAGTCAACCTGTAGGCTCCCCCATACCTATTAGTTCAGGTTCTATATAAATAGAGGTAACTACCTCTTCAAAACTCTTCCTACCTTTCCCCTGCCATTTCCTCTCAAAGACTTTCCCATTGCTCATGCACAATAAAGGGATGGCACAGAACTGCACAACTAGATGTGCAACATGCATTACCTTGGCAGTGACAATATCCAGGACAATTTTTTCTTCGAGTAAGCATAGGTTTACAATTAAATTTTGACTTACACATTATGGGCTTGATCCTACAAAACAACCACCTCTAGGCACAGCAAGCAGAGCCATTGCGGTCATCAATAGGTCCATTTGTGGCAGCTAGGATCCTGCCCAACACCAAGCCCTTCTGAGCCAGATTCATAAGTAGTCCATAGGTCTAGAGTTTCTAATGAACTATTTAAAATAAGCTACTGAAAAATAATACATGAGTGTATGTTATAGGTACTTAGTAAGGGAGTTTCTTTTGTATGTAGTCTGTTCATATTTGATTCTGTGTATCTGTTGAAATTGTACATGAAGGAATAAAATTACTTAAAAAAAAAAAAACCCTAAAGCCAGTCCCAGCAGCACTCAAGTAATTTCTTTGCCTTTTGTGATTATCCCTTGTGTGTTTGAGTTTTTAATCCTGTAATAATGCACCATATCTAGCCAATTTAAATTGTTTTCAAGTAATATTTTGCCTTACTTCGCTTATTCCATATACTCCTTGCATTTATAGATAAGCACATATTCTAAACAATTCTTTTTAGTTGCCTTTTTATTTTCATCTCCATATTGTTCAAGTGAATGGACATACCCGATACTTTTTTGGGGGGATAGGAGAAGAAGGGGGTTGGATTAAAAAGTTTCCCCTCTATCTTCTTTCTACTTAGTTTATAGCTATGCAACAAGCCCAGTCGACTTTGAACCCAGGAAACTGATACCCTATTTACGTAGACTAGGGAGATGCGGAGCAGCTTTTCTCGCCCCGGAGGTCGCAGGCGGCGGGACCGTGGCGCGTCTGGGCGGTCCCGCCGTCCGTGTCCTCCGGGGTGAGAAAAACCCCGTTCGTAACTGCGGATCCTACATAAGTCGGATCTGCGTAATTCGGGGACTGCCTGTACTGCAAACTAAAGTAATAAGACTGATTAATGTTTTAAAACATTAACAGAAAAATGTTTTAATTTCCCCTCAATTCAAGATTCCATCCAAAGCCCTGTGGATTGGATTCTGCTCACTGGAAGAAGTACAATTCTCCTTATTACAGTGATGGATTCACCATAATTCCAAACATATAGAGAAAATATTGCTGGTGTTTAGGTTTTGGACCGATACACTTTTTGGACTGCAGCAGACTATATTTTTAAAAGTCATTAAAAAGAAGGCTTTCAAATAATTAATATACGGGTTGACTGCACATCTATTCACCTTTGAGGGCCTTGGGTTACCAATTTGGTCAGATCTATTCCTGGAGACTCATCAAATGACAACCTTTAAAGATTAATCTTTAATTTCTGGATACTACAGGCCAATCCTGGAGGGTTGGCAACCCTTCTCTGTAATCTGTGAAATGTACCAAAATTCTTAAGAACCATATTACAATTTTATGGATTAACATTTTTATTTTATAAAGAAATTTAAAAGTATATTGGATTTGATATAAAAATGTATCTTTTCCATAATCTAAATACTTTATGACAAGATAAATTTGAAGATAAAAATAGCTCTTAAATGCTCACAATAGTTTTAATAAACTCTAATAGATAAGAACACTTAGTTTCACTGATTAGGAATGAAGATATTGCATTGTAGTGTAGCAGCAAAAGGCCCACATAATTAAGTACTTGAGCTTATAACTCTTCAGTGTACATGACAAATTTACAATTACTGAAAAGCTAGAGGTTCAGTGTATTAAATTACTAAAATTATAATTCCCGGTCGTCACTTAGCATCTTAGAAATCATGGATCTTGTTACTGCAATTATGCTGTTTGTCACTTAAAGACTTTCTATAAAAGTGTTTAGCTGCATATATGCCAAGCATTTCACTTTCATTTCCCATTATCCCAACAAAGATTACCATAGGTAAGCAAAGACAAGCCTGAACCTCTGTAGTGAATACTTTGTTTAATATGTATGTTTTTATAGTATAACAAAGTGCATAATTTGTCCATTTTTACCATAAACTTTTAAAAACAGGCAATGCATTCTAATATGACAGTAAATATCAAAGTCATTCCTGGTAGATACACTGATAAATATCATCCTCATTACTGGCTGATTAATGTAACAGAAAAGGGAATAGCTTATTACCACTCTAGCATCTTTTCTAAGAGTACCAAAATACTGCCAAGACTCACTCATTTAATGGAAGAGTTCTCAATTTTAAGGGAGGTTTCAAAAGCATTTCACTTATGAAAGAGGACATTGTTTCAATGTTTACATGAAACTTGGCCATTCAAATCATCATAGTTTGACACTCCTAGCCCACATATTTATATTTTCCTTTAAATTAAAAGGAACAGTCAACTTAAATTTTGTAAAAGCAAGATTTTACAAAACTAAAAAACTATTTCCACTTCTTAAAAATCCCAATGAAAGTATCTGTTTATAAGCAACAACACATTCTCCTGTAGTGCTGTAGGGCTCAACATACTACACCAGGAATTTAAAATTGAAACGGACTACTTAAAAATGAATAATTACTTCATTGATTTTCATTGTTCAAACTGAAAGAAATGCAAAAAAAAAATACACACACAAAAGCCAAAGTAAGGGCACTGGGCCAGATTTTAAAAGGTATTCAGATGCCTAAAGATGTAGATAGGCACCTATTTGGATTTTCAAAGCACCTAGGAATCTAAATCTCTTTGATTACAATGGGAAGCACGTGTATAGAAGCTCATCTGCATTTTTTGGACCTAAATACCTTTAATACCTGGCCCATATCATGAAAAACAAGTTGCCTTTTAAAGATGTTTCACTTTTAAAATGTTACAGTAACATGAATAAGGAAATGTGTTGGCAGCATAAATTCTATTCAGCATAAATTCTCATCACTGGGTTAACCAACTACACAGCGGTCTATCTACAAGGGGATAAAACCTCATGGGAGGCATGGGTTAACTGTCTCAGGGTGTGGGACTGCTAATTATTTTGTGGATGTTTGGGCATGGGCCAGAGCCCAAGTCTAGGGACCCCATGAATCCAAATCTGTCACCTGACCAAAGTCAGCCATGGCTATGAGGTGGGTCTTTTATCCCTGCATCGATGTACACTTCATTTCTCCTTAAACAGGGGGTTTCTATGGGTGTAGAGTCACACATGAACTTTATGAGACCCCCTCACACTGGAAGCATTTCCAGGGCACCACTTCACTCTGGCTATATCCATCTACCAGAATGGACCCTTAGACCTATGGGCAGGTGAGCAGAAATTAAAAATTTGTGGGAAAGACCTGTGGCCAGTCCCAGATTCCAGGGGCTGCGAAGGGGAGTATAGCCACACTTAATTCCTTCATCCTGAGCTGCACCAAGCACCATTTCAACATAGCTCAGAACCTGGGGCACGAATAAGCTAAAAAAAAAAAAATTAGCATATTTGCACCACAAGTAGGTAGATGGTTCAAATCCTAACTGCATAGTGAACTTCTTGGAGCCGCTATTATGGCACAGTTTATTTCAAATAAATAAGAGAACACCACAATGTTGGCACTACCTAAATATGAAAGTCAAGAGTACCCAAAGTACAAGCATGTGCTGAATTAGTTATGGATGTGCTCTTTTTCCAGGTACACAGGATAAGCAACTGTTTTTTCCACTGTGAAAAGAAATCTAATATCCACTTGTCCTCACTAGATGACTTTATACACCATGTGAGATCAGGATGACAGAACCTGGGTCCTGATTCACCACAGCATTACTCTAATATTACACCAGCATGACCTCCTTGATTTCAATGGCAACAAACCAGCAGAACACTATGATGAAATCAGACCCCTGAAGTTTTCAGTTTTCTTTCAGTTACCATCAAGTCATACACCAGTGGAGATACTATGGTTATATACACATGTTGCTAGAAACAGAATCATGGCCAATGGTATTACCTAAATTATCTTATTAGTGCTGGCCTATCTTGATTTATGTAACATTGAGAAGCACTACTACTTCTATATCAGCACCCCCTTTCTCCATCCAACTAACCCCACTGAACGCTACAGAAAAGGCCAGGATGGCTGCACTCCTCAGCACTGGTTCCCCCTCCCCCCAGGAACAACTGATATCAGATATAAACCAAGAATGCAAAGCAGTACAAACAGGTACTTTTGCAAATGTTGCCAACTATTCTCCTCCTGGCAAACCCAGCAACCCTTTCTACAACCCAGAGCAACTGCCTCTGTTCTTGACAAAAAACAGCAGTTTGAATAAAACTCTTCCAGTTTCTGCAACAATAAAAAGATCTCCATCAAAGCAAACGCTGTCCCCTTTGGCTGCCACTTAAGTTCTCTTACTGAGAAGATTGGACCTGGCAGGCAAGGGGGTGTCTTTAACTCTCTTGTCCTTACCTCCCAATGGGAAGAAAGGAAGGAAAGAAAGGGACCTAGGGGGCTCTTCTCCCTGGGATTCTGTCCAGGATTGAGAGGTGCTGAACGCAAAAGAGGAGAACAGAAGGCCTGGAGAGGATCTATGGGGCAAACAGGAGGGGAATGAAGTGAGGTTAGGGCAGGGATGTGTGGCCTTGTGTGGGGCTAAGGGAAAGGCGCCTGTGGGAGCAGGAAGGAGCCAGAGGGAGGCCCCAGGTGGATGCTCCCTGACTACACGGAGATTGAGAGGTGGCTGCAGAGGGGACAGAGGCCCTGATGCGGAAGAAGGGGCAGCCCCTGGGGGCGGGGCGGGGAGGTGAGGGGGTGGAAGCCAGAGCAGTCCAGGCGTGCGGAGGGGATGGAGAAGCCCTGGGGCGCGGGGCCCGGAGATGCACGCGGAGGGGCCCTTACCCGTGGTGGAGAGCACGGTGCTGGCGAAGAAGAGCGCGGAGGTGAAGTCCCAGTTCCAGTTGCCCGAGGCGTTGCCGAGCACGGACACGCCGTAGTTGCTGGCCTCCAGCGCCCGCTGCAGGAACTGCTCCAGCTGGTGCTCCGACAGGCACTCGTGCTCCTCCAGGAAGCGCCGCTTCAGCTTGCGCAGCTCCTGGCGCAGCAGGTCCTCGTAGGGCAGCTCCACCGAGGAGAAGACCACGGCGCCGAAGACCAGGTAGAGCAGGTAGCCCAGCACCAGGAAGGCGAAGCACCAGGCCGAGCGGTGCCGCTCCCCCAGCCGCACGCAGGAGCAGCCGGCCAGGGACTGCAGCATCTTCCGCCGCCGCCCTGCAGCGCCCGGCGCCGCAGACAGAGCTGGCCCCGCGCCCCGGCCGGGAGGGCGCCGGGCTGAAGCGGCGCTTGCGGGCTGGGGTCGCTCGGCTGCAAAGCGGCTCCGCCCCGCCAGGGGACTGATGCACCGGCGGGAAAGGGTGGACTCGCCCGCGGCCTCCCCCAGCGGCGACTGGCTCGGAGCCCGCTTCCTTTGGGTGACTTTCCAGCCTGAGGAGCCCCGCTGATGTGGCGCTCACGTGGTGCCCCGGCCCAGGTAGCCGGCAGCACTCCCGCCCGGCCCGGCTGCTGCTCTGTGCTCCCGGGAGGGCTCGCACGCGCGCACCGCCCAGCCCGCGAGCGCTCCCCCCGGCATCCGGCTGCTCCCTGGGGGCCTGGCCACGGCGCTGTTGATAAACCCAGCGCCCCCCTCTCTTCCCGGAGCTGATAGCAGGGACAGATGGAAAGCGAGCGAGCGGGAAGTGTGCAAATGGCACAGGAGTGTGTGTGTTTGGAAATGCTGCTTCTGCTAGCCCCAAGTGAAAGCAAAAAGGGAAATGTCCTACGGCAGTGTTCCTCAGCCTTTTTTTAAATAAAAAAAATAAAATTACCCTCAGTCCCTACAGTTTTCAGACACACCGTTTTTTTCTTCTGTTGCAACACATTCATTTAAACAACTTAATCGTAGCTGGGCGGGCGATGACATTTTTGGGTGTAAAAAGTACAAAATGAATAAAACTCTGTAAAACTCAAAACAAAAATTCAGTTTCCCCCAAATTTCAGTTGTGCTGATGTACCTAACCCCTAAGGAGCTTCAGGGGGTAGTCCAGTTAGTCTATTACAGAAAAACAACAACAAATAGTCTGGTAGCACTTTATAGACTAACAAAACATGTAGATGGTGCACAGCCCACTTCTTCAGATGACCAGGGTATGAGTAGGGGAATACCTCAGGGTACTCGTACCACTGGTTGAGAAACATTGTCCTACGGCACAAGGGCTAGGGCAGTGGTCCCCAACCTTTAGAGGCTCCTGGGCGCCCGGGAGGTGGGGCCATTCATGCGCCGGGCACCTGGGAGGTGGGGCAGTGGTCCCCAACCTTTTAGGGCTGCTGAGCGCCTGGGGGCGGAACCTCATACACCGGGCACCTGGGGCCATGGCTGCACACGCGCCCGGGGGCAGGCCCACCCATATGTCACATACCCGGTGCCGGCACCGCCCATGCTCAGCACTCCTGGGGCCGGCACCACTCGTGTGCTGCACGCCCAGGGGCGGGGCCACCCACACGCCCAGGAGCCGGCAGCACCCATGCACCTCGCGCCCAGGGCCAGCACAGCCCATGCACCGCGAGCCTGGGGGCAGGGCCACCCAAGTGCTGCGCACCTGGGGCTTGCACCGACCCTGTGCCGCGTGCCCGGGGGAGGGGCTGGCCCCGATCACTCAGCGGGCGCACAGAAATGGCCCGGTGGGCGCCATGGTGCCCGCGGGCACCGCGTTGGGGACCACTGGGCTAGGGATTGGGAGTTCTTTGTGCACAGTCACACAAAAGGCTAATTTTTGCCACTGCCCTGCTGCTGCATTCCGGAGGTCTATCAATGTATAATGTCAACTGGGGTGAGAGGCAGGTAGCTTTGGGGTTCTAAAAGGAGCAACAATCCTAGAAGTGTATTTTGTATTCTCAGAAATCAATTGGTAGCAGTGCTGTTAGAGGGGATGTCACACCCAGCCCAACATAGTCGCTCCAGCATCTTTCAGCAACACTGACTTGTCTTTAAATGTATATTTATGAGCTGTAATACACTACTACAGATGAACAGTGCTATAGAAATCAGTAATGGTGATTAATAATGAATGCATGCTAACAGCGTGCAATGCAAAATTGTTGAAGGGAGCATTTGGAGCAAACATTTCTGGCCTCTATCTGACACCAGGGACATTTAAAAGTCATTCAATAAAGAGAGGTAATGAAACCTTTCTGACTAATGACACAGAGCACAAACACGCACAGCCCTAGGTCCATTTCCTCCATCACTTTAATCATTAATTCTCCAAAATTCCAGATGACAGAGCAGTGCTCATGTAATTAAAAACACCATTTTAAATGAAAGCAATATTTGTTAGGCTTTGGGCTTTCATCTTCATCAAATGCATTCAGTCTGACCATGCAACAGTAAATTATTTCCCAAAATGTAACAGCATCAAATAGGCATTGTTCTCATTATGGATAGAGATGGACAAATGAGTTTAAATATAACAAACTATCAACCTCCACCTTTTCCAAATCCCCTAAACCAAATGTCCTTTTCAACTTAGAAATTGTTTATTTAAGAATGAACCTCTTCTGGGAGGGGATAGGAAACTTTAATTTCCTCTGCTGTGACCAGATATTGACACAATCCTTCAATAAGATCCTGCTAGCCTCCCACCTACTTTCACAGGTCTCCATTTTTCCACTCGCGCACATACCCATGCTTACACTGAGACTGCAAGCTTCTTTTGGAAGAAGCTTTTCCAGAAGAGATATTCCAGAAAAGCTTATTTCGAAAGAGAGTGTTCACACAGCAAAAGTGCAACGAAAAAGCGATGTGCTTTTGCGAAAGATGGTGTCCACATCGATTGGGCGCTATCTTGCATTTAAGTTTGATGAGTCTAGATGGAGTGGCCACCAAGGCACCTGTGTTATTTCCTGGAGGCCTCTTCTTTCGAAAGAACTCCCTTTTCTGTGTTCACACATGCCTTTTCCCGAAAAAGCTTTTTTGGAAAAAGGCTTCTTCCTCGTAGAATGAGGTTTACCTCCTTTGGAAAACCTCCTCCATTCTTTCAACTTTCTGTTGAAAGAACTCAATGGCAGTGTGGACGCAAGTATTGTTTTTCCGGAAAAACAGCCATTTTCCCGGGAAAACACTACAGTGTAGACACACCAAGAGAGAGTCTTGAGCTGCTTTGTTGCCCAAAAACTTCACAGCTCTTTACTCTGTGACCTTTCCTCCAAAGGTCATCAGACATATGGGGTATGGTTATCGGTCAGAGAACAACAGAGCTGGGCTTTTTCACATAGGCATTCAAATTCTTGCTCTCAATTCAAACTTTTGGCATTTTGAATTTTGGCCAACACTGTGTAAGATATTGTTTTAATGTAAAGCCCCTTTGCTATACATTTGTCTCAGAATCTGTAATGATCATTAAATGAAAGATCCTATAGTGGTGTATACAAATCAGGGGACAGAGAGAAGGACACTGTGATATTGACTTGTCTGGGCTTAAATTCTCAGACATGCCATTATAGTGTCCTATTTTTGCATTCTGATCTAAATAACAATTTTAATCTTTGAGTAAGATCTGACTCTCTGTCCATCTCACTTTGCTAGTCAAGGTCAGTGTTACATAGGAGTTGCCCAAATGGATCAGATCAGGGCATCTTATCACTCACAGCACTTATTAGAAGATGTGGAAAACCTTGCACTAAGTTGGTATGGGGATAGCCTGTTTCCAGCATGTTTCGTTAGTCTATAAAGTGCTACCAGACCATTTGTTGTGTTTTTCTATTGAAGTGACTTAATTAAACCACATCATCACCTAACCCAGCAATTGGCTAAGTCCCTAATGTCCTTCATGCTGGGAAAGGTATTACTGTTATAGGGAAAAGTGGTCTTGGGACAGAAGCCAAAGCTTCCCATGGCACCGAGCCAAGTGCTGAGACAGGAATAAATGTATCTGCAAGCTCCCTGTTCTATACGGGAAGATCACACACTCTTCCAATTCTGCCTCTTCCTATTTGCCTATCCATGACAAGTGATAGAGGTCAAAACCGGATCCCCCCCGATTTCCCTCACAAAAATAAGCTGGCAGCCACAGTTCTGTGATCTCTCTGTCTGGCTTGAATGCCAAATCTTCCAAGGAGTCACTGATCTTCTCTAACACTACCACTGAGCAGTGGCGGCCTTTTCTTGTCATCAGTCCAGAGTGTAGTCCAGAAAGAACATAGCACCTTCCTCTAGAATAGATTATCCTCTTCCAGTGTATTAATAGAATGTAAGGCTCCCAGGCCAGATTTTCTTTAAAGATATTTAAGCACCCAGTGGGATTTTCAAAAGCACCAAGGCACTCACTAGCTATTACTTCCAAGATGATTCTGAGAATTCCACTCAATGTCTACATGTACAATTAAAAATCTGACCCCTAATCCAATGGGGATTACCCTAGAAGAAAATATCTTTGTAAGGTCCCATTCTCTATTGGTAGTTAGTAATAATATTAAGAAAAACTCTTGAACTACACACAACCTAGTAAATAAAGTCACCTGCCTGCACTCACATCACGTGGGCACATATAGCCACAGTATGACACCACAGCACATCGCACACTGGAATATCCCAGCAGAATGGGAGCAGATAGTCATTACTTTGGGAGAATCTGAAATAAACACATTAGCCTCAAAGAAGTTACAGTGAGCAGATTGAATTGCAATAATGAACTGCACCATCCTTCATGACCTTCCTTCAAATTTGGCTCTAAGAAAAAAACAGATGCATTCAATGTAGGAAATCGAAACCTTAAATAATGAAAATCATAAATTATTAGTACACTATCAGTCAGAAATGTAGGCCCTGTATGAACTCACAAGGATAGTGACAAGGTCAATTGGTCTTATAAATACATTTTAATAATAAGACACTGAAAAATAATTCCCTTCCATATCCTGTGGTATCCATTAGAGTTTTTAAAATGAGAGCTAAACCCTGCTTAGAATCCCAACTTCTTATATGGGTCACGTAGCAGAGGAATTACTTTAGAGCATTGGATTTATTTATGCTTGTAGATATGTATATCACTCTGCTTGCCTGATCTGTTCTTGTGAGCAGACAAGGCACAGATTTATAAAACCAGACCCCCACAGCTTTGTGAAGTACCAACAACAAAGTGATAAATTGAGAAGCAGACAATTACGTAGCTATGTTTTGCTGTTGTACTTGAACTAAAAGGAATCCTGCCAAAATTAGGTTATCAAATATGCATCTTTAAAAATCAAAATACACTATTTATCAAAATAATTTCTCAAGGGAGGACTGCTTCCCAAATTAAAGTAGTATAGACCTAATAGTAGTATACAGACACAGGATTTTAACATTTATAAGACACTTTTTTGACAGGAAAGCTATTGCTATGGAAGATGAAAGAGACAGCAGAATTTGTCCATAACGTTGTCAATACCCAGCCAGGTCACAATAAGCTACAGGCATCAATGAAGGATGGAGAGTGTAGCTTCTTCAGATAATCCTTTTACGTCAGTAATGGTGCAGCATTGTCCCGAAAGCCTACAACTACTGATCTGAGGCAGCAAAAAAGAAAATATTTCCAATTATGGGTTGTATTTAGAGAAAGGATGAGGTATTAA